CTGATATAACAGGGTGTACTGAGGAGCCGGAGAGTCTGAAGAGATAATAAAAATACTTCAGTAAATGTTAGAGTGTAACCAGACTATGCATCATCAATGCTGATGTTTATTGATGAATGTCCAAGAGGCCCCTCTAGGGTTTTAGTCACCAGAACAAGTGTCCTGGCCGGAAGATTTTACCTCATCTCTTGTTTTGGTGACAACTGTATCAGTCTAGATTTCCCATCACTTTCTGTCCTGGTTACCATTGTCAATAATAATGTTCACCAATGAATGTCCAGAACCAAAAAAAGACCCCTCTTGGGTAGTAGGCCCCAAAACAAGATTCCTCACTGGAAGATTTCCTCTTGCCTCTCATTCTGGTAAAAAATGAATATTTTTAATTTCCCATCAGCAGTGGCCACCAAGATAAATAGAGAGGGTGAATCTCACCTCTCATTCTGCTGACAACTGTAACATTTTGGATTTCCCATCACTTTCTGTCCTGGTGACCATTGTTAATACTGATGTTCACTGATGAATGTCCGGAGCCAAGAAAGACCCCTCTTGGGTAGAAGTCACCAAAACAAGACTCCTCACTGGAAGATTACCTCTCACCTCTTGTTCTGGTGACAGCTGGAAAATTTTGAATTTCCTATCACTTTTTGTCCTTGTGACAATGGTCACCAAGATAAATAGGGAGGTGAATCTATTCAGTGGCCACACAGACAGCAATAAAAGCCTTAAAGTGTTCTAACCCCTACCCATTGTATCCAAATCCCCCCCCCAAAAATAAATAAAACAGTTTTTCTATATAAACACTTTAAAGTGAACCTATAGTCTCAGAAATGGTCTTCTTCTAAGCTCCTTCTTCACCCCCCTAGTAGGTATCAAAAAGTGGCAAAAAATATTTTGTCCTCCTCCCCCCAGCACAATAGTAGTCTGCAGTAGTGCTGATAAAAAAAATCACTTTCTCTAAGCTGGTATTTGCATGGTTTTAAAAATGCTCTCTACCTGCCAGTAATTGGGCAGAGCTCAGGCACTAAGAGTCAGCTTGGGGTATGGGCATACCTCCTTACCCAAAACTTCACGAGGGATTTTTACGTGGGCCCCGGTGTTTAAAAAGGAGGAAGGCGCTGGTCATAAAGTGATCATCTGCCAACTTATGGTGTGTATTTTCAAGGGAAGGTTAAGTCTAAACTACAGGCACCCTTCAAGAGGACAAGACATTAATTACACCCCATGTATGGAACTGTATGACAATTATTGGTGCAGATGGTGCGGAGTGGGTAATTGCGGACTTCCCCTCCAATAAATTAAAAAGATATTCCGGCTTCCAACTTGCTCAAGCCCTGATGCTTCAAGATATACCCTGCTGGCTGTAAATTAGGCGAAGTCTACATATATTTTCCATGGCTTGAACAGAAAATATTGACAAAAAGACAAAAATAGCAATTCAGGAACCGTTCTTCCAGATGAGGAGACTAATTGCACAATGACCGTTGGTTAACAATATTAAGTCATTAAACCTGTGAAGTGGAAGAGTAAATACTAACATGAAACTGGAAAACAGAGGTATTTGTTTATAAGCCACCTGTGAAAAGGTAGAGTCCTGAGCTAGGCGGGTATAAGCACAATTATCAAACCTGTCACCCATACACAAACAAGGAAGCCCTTTGTATGTATGGAGCAAACCTTTGCCAAGTGTTTATTCCACCAGCAAAATAGAGCAAAGACTCAGTAACCACTATGCTAAATTCTCTTTCCCCAGTCCAAAAAAAAATGGTTGGCTGGGTTCATCATTCATTGATTCCATTGTTACCTATTGGACCAACGTTCTACATTTTTAATGTATGTATTCAGTCACAATAATGGTGCCTCTGCTATTGGGTTTTAGGACACCTTCACCTAACAAAATGACTCCACTGCAGCTCAGGAACATCTCCAATGGCAAATTTGCCCCACTCTACCTCAGGTCTTCTTGTACCGCAGTGAAGCAAATAGCTCCTACTGACCTGGACAACCCTCCTTCATACTACAAAATGGTCCAGTTGTACCTCAGTGAGGTCACTATCGCCTACTGACCTGGACAAGCCTCCTTCATACTACAAAATGGTCCAGTTGTACCTAAGTGAGGTCACTATCACCTACTGACCTGGACAAGCTACATTCATACTTCAAAATGATCCAGTTGTACCTCAGTGAAGTCACTATCACCTACTGACCTGGACAAGCCTCCTTCATACTACAAAATGGTCCAGTTGTACCTCAGTGGGGTCACTAGCGCCTAGTGACCTGGACAAGACACATTCATACTTCAAAATGGTCCAGTTGTACCTCAGTGTGGTCTTTATCTCCTACTGACCTGGACAACCCTCCTTCATACTACAAAATGGTCCAGGTGTACCTCAGTCTGATCACCACCTCCTCCTGACCTGGACAAGCCACATTCATTCTACAAAATGGTCCAGTTGTACCTCAGTGTAGTCACCAACTCCTAATGACCTGGACAAGCCTCCTTCATACTACAAAATGGTCCAGTTGTACCTCAGTGTAGTCACCAACTCCTAATGACCTGGACAAGCCTCCTTCATATTACAAAATGGTCTCGCTGTACCCTGTACCTTAATTAACCCACTGGCTCCTGCTGACTAGCTTACTCAGTAAAATAGCAGACCAATGCCCTTCAGTTGGGTCACTTGATTCTTGCGAGCTCACAGGCCACAATTATGCAACCAAATAGCCAACTTGGCCCCATGTAAGGAAAACCAGTTTGCTTTAATAATAAAATGTTAAAAAAACAAAACAATCCTGTTTTCGGTGTTTAATTCAGCATCGAGCGGCCTCAAGGTGAAGTTTACTGTTAATTAAACATCACTGAGCCCCGAAAGATAAATTAATTCATCCGTATTTCCTGGTATCCATTTGATACACAGAGTCCAACCTGCAGAACCGAACCAGGATAATATTACCTCACAGTCTGCAGATTTCTGGGAAACTGGCCAGGCTCACCAGCCTCAGATCATGTAAAGAGGACATGTCTCAGAGACGTTGAGCTAGAGGTAACGTTGCATCATACAATGCATTATGTAATAAGTCTACAGACAGGCAACTGGTGCATTTAACCCTTTATGGTGGAGCACATAGGCTTACAGTTATGAACAGTAGATAGTGTACAGCAGGTGACCTATGTCTAAATGCCTTTTTACCTTACCCCCAATTTCCGTCCATGGCACCTAGGCAAGGGAGACATCCATCATCCTTCCTGCAAGATCACGAGGAATACCAAGTAACCCAAATATCACTGATCATATGTGCAGCACCATGGCAACTGCAATCTTAAAAGAGGCTAAGATGGCACCTTCCCTGGCTGTAAGGGATAGGAGGTTGCAGTTCCACGTTAACCAGTATGCCCGTGTTCTGTCAGATTTGCCGACCACATTACGCTTGCCGACCTATGTAATACGCACGGCCGCGCCTCCAACAAAAATAGCTAATGCGCAAGCACTCTGATAACACATTCAACGAAAAAAAAAAGTAATTCCACCCGCCATCAGCGCGCATGGGCTCTGACGTCACAAAGGTCACAAACTTCATGGGTCACACCAGGGAGTGTGGAAAACTCAGGCAAAGTGACTTTATAAAGCGGCTGCACATGCGCCTATATAAAGGCTTTTAATTATTATTTTTTTCTTCCATGTGTTTTTCATACAGCGCATGCACAATTGCGGTGTGGAGGAGGTGTAGCCGTGCGCGTTACGTAGGTCGGCAAACGTGACGCAGTCGGCACATCCGACAGAACACCCGGAGGGAGTATTAGGGCTCATATGCGCCAGGATGATTTTTTTTTAAAGGGGTTGGACCCCTTGTCGAGTTTTCATTGCCATGTCCATGCTCTGGGGGTGGGGGAATCCCCTCCCCAATGAGTCCTGGGGGCCGTTATCATCGTATAGGATTCTAAGCTACCGCCAGAGAATGAGGTGAGGGAGAACCCTCCAAAGGCAACGTCTTTTGCTACAACAACTCACAAAGATGGGAATTCCCTTCGCGGTGAAGAGATTTCCCCCTCATTTCCTGCTGCATCTCCAGTACAGGAAGTGAAGGGAAATCTCCACAGCTGGACACTGATAGGAGTTTAAACCCTTCCCTACTCTGTCTAAAGGTGCCCATACACTGCTCGATTCTCGTACGAGAATTGCGGGAAATCCCGCGATCGTACGAGAATCGAGCAGTGTGAACGGAGACGTGCGACCGTCTCTACTGTACGGTCGCACGTCTTCCGTCGAACCAGCATGTTCGAAAACCAGCCGGGAATCGTACGATTCTCGGCTGGTTAGAACGGTGCTCGGAAGACAAATGCCGAACGGGCCGGTGTGCGCACGCGCACACTGCCCGTTCAGCATTGCGGTCATCGGAAGCCCGCCCCTCAGGGGGGCGGGCTTGCGATGATCAAGAGTGCGATCTGCCTGTCCAAGATAGGCAGATCGTACGTTTTTTTAATCCCTGTACAACCATCGCAAGACTAAGGTCTTGCGATGGTTGTAGAGTGTATGGCCACCTTTAGGCTCAGAAAATAATGTTTTAGCTTTACAAAGGCTTCAATCATTGCCGCTAGGCATCAGGAAGGAACCCTTTCATCTGGAAGATGCAAATAAGTGCACTAAAAATACAGTACAGCCGACTTTTAGGGCTGATTTACAGTTAAGGGTTTCATTGCAGCTGTGTTAACGTGCATTGAGATGTGCTAATGCAGATCATTCATTATGATGGATAAGAAAAATGTACATGAGCCTTGATTAGCAAGGTATATGCATTGTGCTTTACTGTTCAATGTACTGCCATGTATATCTGCTGGTAAATGTACATAAACACACAGGTAAGCTATTTCTACAGGGCAAATGACACAGGGTTTGTAAGGAAAGGGCCCCATCACACACACACACACACACACACACACACACACCCTCCGCGCATGCGCAGTGGCGGGCCCAAGCGCCGCGCTCACGGAAGCCGAGCCTCACCATTTGATAATGTCGTGCACCAGCGGCAGGAAGGTGTAATCTTCCTCCTCCTCTTCGGTGGCCTCCTCCTCCTCTTCTTCCTCCTCGGGCTCGTCTCCCGCTCTGGCCGGGCCTCCCGTAGCCATTGTGACACACAAACCTGCGTCACTGAGCCCGACACTCCGCCGGTGCTTTCCACCGAGATGGGCCGCTTTCATAATGACGTCACGGAGGCGCGACAAGGCTCTCTGGGACGTCACTAGTGCGCGCTGACAGCGGCTTGTTTGTGTTGCTGATGCTGACATGTGTGATCAGTGTTGCTATGGGGATAACTCAGTGACCATCAATGACTTAGCAGGAGCTGTTTTATGTTAGAAGTGGAGTTTTGGAAGGTGGAGAAGGATACATTAGGGTTCATGTAAACTTTTTATGCTCCTGTGTGCTGCGTTAACACTATGGTTGCCACCTGTCACTGATTCACCTGGACAAACTGGGTTTTGAGTCCTGTGTGTGCTGTCAGGGTTTCAGCTGGCCTGAAACCCGGGAAACAGCACATACAGGACTCAAAACCCGGACTGTCCAGGTGAAGTCGAGACAGGTGGCAACCCTAATCAACACACTTGCATTAACGCGTGTTGTGTCACGCGCTAACATGCATTGCGTTATGTGATACCGATCATTGTAAATGGCATTTGCATGCACTAAGGCAATGCAGCTCAGATGCACATGCACTGCAGCGGCCCACAATGTTGCGTTGAAGTTGCCCATTCAGAAACTGGCCTGCAGCATTTTTCCTACCACAACTTACGGCTGTGTGTTACCCTGTGTGGTGGGCCGCTGCAGTGCATGTGCATCAGAGGTGCGTTGCCTCAGTGCATTCAAGTGTCATTTGAAATGAATGGTACCACATCGCGCAAATGCACGTAATCATATTGTAGTAATGCACTCCGTGATGTTCATGTTACTGTAGTGCACCTAACTGCAAAGGTGTGTTTTAGCCCCTGGGGCCATTTCAAACCTGTCCATTCCAGTGCGTTGTTTATACATACACACCAATGCACCAGATTGGACCGGAAATCGGTCATGCACTATTTTTGCTTTGGGGTGCCATTAATAATGAATGGCACAGCAAAACTTTACAAGCGTCACTCTTAATTTCAAGTGACAGGAAAATCTGGCTGTCCCCATAGAAAGACCGGGGACAGACTGAGCTTCACCTCTTTGAGATACAATGCCTCTATATCTTTAACCCATTGTTAGGCCAGGCAGCATTCAAATCTTGCTTACAGCTGATAATGAGACCTGCCTGCACAGTACAGACAGTTAAATATGTTCACATTAACCAGCCACAGCCCCCTCCTTGTATTCCAGAGATAAACTCAATACAGAGAACAACTTTTCTTTCAGAATAGAGCATGTATGGTGCAAGCAGCAAATAAAAAAAAAACACTTCATGCAATGTGAATGGGAACATGTAACAACTATAAAATAGGTGTTTTCCCAATTTGGATACACAAGTGGAAATACACTTCATAGGATAGCTATAGGGAGAGTGAAATGCACTCATCACCACAGTTAGAGCGGAGGTGTGACACTGAAGCTGTCAGATGTCGGCTCACTGCTGCTCTGTGTCCTTGTGCAGGGTGACTGGTCTTGTCTCCGCCCCCTCCTGTAAAAAAAGACCGGTCACTGCTGCTCTCTCTCCTTGTGCAGAGTGACTGGTCTTGTCTCCGCCCCTCCTGTAATAAAGACTGGTCACTCCTGCTGTCTCTCCTTGTGCAGGGTGACTGGTCTTGTCTTCGCCCCCTCCTGTAATAAAGACCGGTCACTTCTGCTCTCTCTCCTTCTGCAGGGTGACTGGTCCTGTCTCCGCCCCCTCCTGTAATAAAAGACCGCTCACTCCTGCTGTCTCTCTTTGTGCAGAGTGACTGGTCTTGTCTCCGCCCCCTCCTGTAATAAAAGACCGCTCACTGCTGCTGTCTCTCTTTGTGCAGGGGGACTGGTCTTGTGTCCGCCCCCTCCTGTAGTTTGCTGTAGTGGGTGGAGCCTGCTGGGACAGCTCTGCTCTTTGCACTGGCTATGTACAGCACAGCGATTATGTCACTGCTACTTTGAAAAGTAATACCTAGGTTTGCACACAAAGTGGATTTATATCCTCTCTTGCTATTGAGCAATATATTTCAATGAAAGTTTATGTGTGCCGATGTTCAGCTTTAAATTCGCTGGTCAGGGCGCTCTCAGCTTCATAGATCTAAAGTTTATAAGCATTTTTTTTAGCATATTTGAAAACATGCAATAATCAGTAGTCCCTTTGTCTGATATGTGACATTCTGGTGTATTTCAGACTCCGACCCCTGTTTGTGGGTCAACATCTCCTGAGAACTCTGTGTACTCTTGTAGGCAGCCTGTAATTAGAAGCAGCCTTAAAAAAAGGATATTGTCTGCGGCACTGAATGGCTTCTCGCTGCTGCTTCTGTTCATCATCTCCTCCAGGTTTGTTTGCACACAAGTCAGAGAACTGGCTGATCTCCTCCTCTATTATCTCTACCTGCTCATTTCATGGCATTTTCCTACAAATTAAACCTTTTGTGACTCAGTCGGGAATGCGGTCATAGAGGAAACCGTTAATTCAAAGAGGAAACGATTGCAAGCAATTAAGACTGGGGACAAGGGGCCATTGAGGAAGGCTGTCCACACTCAAAAAAAAAAAAAAAAAGCAATCTGTAAGTGGAGGTAAAAAAAATTGAAAAAAAAAAATGCGCACACCAAAAAAAAAAAAAAAAAGCAATCTGTAAGTGGCAGTAAAAGAAATTGAAAACGGAGCTAGCCAAAAAAAAGAAGAAATGTAATTTACAACATTTTAATTGATAAGAAACAAAAATAAGTGGGGTACAGAATGGTGGAGGTGGGGGTAAGGAAACAAGATAACATACACTGGAGAACAATGTTTACATGGTATACATCAGCCTTTTCTCAAGCAGGGTGCCTTGGCACCCTGAGGTGCAGTCTGGGTTTTTCAGGGGTGCCATAAAAAAAAAACATGTCCTGTATTGATTCAGTATGGGATGCAGTTTGCCTGGCCGGCCCCTAGCACCATAGAAAATGCATTACGCTGACTCAGGGCGCGTGGCATTCAAGGGCACCCCAGTGTTCAGAGGAGGGTTTAGTTCTCTATCTGGAGTCCACCTCCATCCAGACCTGCTTCGCCTTTTGTCCTTTGCCATGCTGCCCCAGCCACGCTGTGTGCAGGTAGGAGGTAGGACGTTGATGGGTTGTTGTTTTTTCTGACTGACAGCGGCCACGATGTCAAGAAAAAACCAAAGCAGAGAAAGGTTTACTCTACTAGATAAAGCAGAGTAAACCTTTCAGGGAGAAAATGTTTCTCTCCCGGGTGTCCGGGAGCCGCTATCTTATAGCGGGTGACTCACAGAATATCTGGGAGAGTTGAGATGTCTGTGTAAAGGGGGGCTCTGGTGTGAAGGGGGGAGACTCTGATGTGAAAAGGGGGAGGCTCTGATGTGACGGAGGACACTGATGTGAATGCAGGAGACTCTGATGTGAAGGGGGGACTCTTATGTGAAAGGGGTGAGACTCTAATTTGAAGGGGGAGGATTTTGATGTGAAGGAGTGAAACTCTCATGTGAAGGGGGACTCTGATGTGAAGGAGGGACACTCTGATGTGAACAGGGACTCTGATGTGGGCGGGGCGGGGGGGCTTCTGATGTAAAGAGGGGACTTTGATGTGAACAGTGGGACCCCATTTTAGACTTGGTGTCTCGAGATGTTGCATACTTTTAAAGGGTGCCAGGACTTAGAAAAGGTTGAGAAACACTGTTATAGATTAGGGAGAATCAAGAATGTGTTAGGCCTTGTTCACACCAAGCGCGGAGCAGATCCAGACCAGAGCAGGTGCAGACCGGATCAAAACTGCATCCAATGTATTCCTATGGTATTTTGACCTCCAGTTCACATCGCAGCGTGCGGATCCAGACCAGATCCAGAGCAGGTGAAAAAACTGCGGCAAGCCCTATTTTACCTGCTCTGGAACGCATCAAAAACGCATCTAAAATGCAAAAACGCATCAAAAACGCATGCAATTGCCTGAAAGCCCATGTTAAAGTTTACATTTTTTTTAATTTTTTTACCAAAACCGGCCCTAAACGCATCCAAAACGCATCAAAATCACGTCAAAAACGCGGCACAACCCACTGCACTGCGTGTGCAGAAACCAGACCGGATCTGGTCTGCATTTGGTGTGAACAAGGCCTTACAGTGGAAAGATATAAAGGAACTCTTTTACCTAATGCGTATATGCTTTGTGATATGCCCACCCCCGCCATGCTATATAGCTGCATGTCCCCACTGGAAGATTTCACATCCATTCCTGTGCTGGTGACAACCCAAAATTTGGACTTTTCTTTCACTTTCAGTGATAACGATCACCAGGACTAATAGAGAGAGTGAATCTCCCCAACAGCAATAAAAACCTGACCCGTGTTCTAATCTCTCTCCACTCCATCCAAAAGTTTAAAAAAAGTTTTGCTTTCAGTTGCACGTTAATCATATATTGTTGTATACTACCAACCCCGGAAAACAAGTCATCACATTAACTTGGCTTTGGACCAAACATTTGGATTTTAGCTTTCACCCCCAGGGTCTTTAATCTATCCGTTTGGCTGGAGTCTTCCTGTAATCCGGCATTGCCTGGTAGCACAGCACTGGTAAATTAAAGTGACGTGTAAAAGGTGCACAGATGGAAGTCGTTCTGAAGTGACTCCCATGAGGATCCTCCTCATTGGTTTTATATGAGTAGGCAATTAAAAGCATGCACGGTGCACATCTTGTGCTCAGGACGCAGGAACACTTGTTAGCAATTAGTTGCTTCTAATTTCATGTCTGTCGATGCCCTGCGGACCATCACCTCCATCATGTCCCCCTCGTACATCTATAAACGGAGACTGCTATTTTCACTGCCTCTGCCGTCTTCTGATTCGTCACCTCATTAAACTCAACAAACCCAATACCTTCCCCGTGCTATTTTTAAGTCATTGATTCCATCTTGCAGACAAGACATCCACTCAATTCAATTTGCCCTCTTTAAGTTCTTGCTTATTGCTTTTTCATTTGCATACACGTAGTAAGGGTTTTATAACATTAATTGACATGTGGCAGGGGGCTCAAG